TTTAATTTTTTTTTTTTTTTTTTTGGCTTCAGGTGTGTATCTGCCAAGAATTTCAGAATTTATGTGGATTAATTTTATTGGTACATAATCTGTAAACGTCTCAAGGCATTAACATGAAAGGGTTTGTTTCCTTTGGTCTTCTCTTGTGGCTCAGGTCCGGCGGGGAAGTGGCGAGCGTCACCCCCTGATGGGCAGTGAAGTACAAAGGTCCTATGAAGGAATGTCCGAGTCCCCGAAAGCCCGTGGCCCTTTGCCACAGCCATAAATCCTGCTGTAAACTTAGGACAAGTGTGTCCTGTTGAAGGTGGGAGCAGGGTCTTCCCCGGGTGCCCCGGCCCTGCGCCCTGACCCCGCCTCGCTCCTCGGCTCACCGCATTTTGGTAACCGACGGGACAGGTGACTGGGTGGCTTGGGGTCAGGAAGGGTGAGCCGCACGTACGGACGCCCTCGGTCGGGTTCGGAGGTCAGTGCTGGCCGCCCGTTGTTCCCTTCCCCTTTGAGGTACCGAAAGAATTGAAAGGAGAGGTGGCGGTGGTGTCTCGTTGTGGGAGAACCTTACTTCCCAAACGGAAATTGCACTTTTTGCTGAACCCTTGGCTGCCCTTGGCAGTTAGCGGTTCGCTCGGTAGCAGACCCTCCGAGGACGGGGCCGGCCAGGCCGGGCAGGCCCTCGCCACCCGCGTCACAGGGGCCTCCGGCTCGTGGGTCTGATCAGGGAGGCCGCGCCTCACGGTGCGGGCCGAGTGCCGCCGGGCGCGGGCGGGCGCTTCCAGGCCTCACGCTGGTCTGGCCCGGGTGCGTGCGGGTCCAGAGAGCCCCTGGCTTTGCTCACGCGTCCCGGCTCAGGCAGGGGCTCTGTGGCCACACCCCTCCCCGCGCCTCTGTGTCAGGAAACCACTGTGATGGGTGTCGTCTGGTGTCAATCGCATGGAGATGCTCTGCCCTGCTCTGCCCATATCACTGCCGTGGAGACGTTGGAGGGAAGGACTTGGCTCTAAAAATTCCTTTAAAAGGAATGAAAACAACAATAATTATAACCATATTGTGAAAAACTCAAAAAACAGAAACCCTCCTCCCTTCCGCCTGGCGTGGGCGAGGGAGCTGGGCAGCAGCCCCAGGAGCCACTCGCGGGTGTCGTGCCCCGTCCCCGGGGAGGCTAGTGCGGGAGAGGTCTGGATTCAGATGGCAGGTCACACAGAGGTCGCCGTGCCTCCCGTATCCTGAAGATGCTGGGATGGGGCCAGCGGGGTGGCGAGAGTGTAGTTCAGTGATCGAAGAGGGGAGATTAATGTGTAAATATGAAGGACACGGGCTGGGGAGGTGGCCCCAGGAGAGAGGAAGGTGCTGGGAGCTCCTGCCCCAAACCCTCCCAGGAATGAACGGAAACGCCAGGCGGCCCGTGGAAGCGTGGGGGCGGTGGGCTTGCCCTGCTTTAGTATCTGACAGTTTCATACAGAAAAACAGCCGGGGTGCGGGGCTGGGGGTCAGTGGTCACTGGTTCAGGGGGTTTGGGTCATTGGATCTCTTCTCAGAGCAGAGACGTTTTGTCTCCAAAGTTAAATCGAGTGACAATCGGCACCAGGAGGAAATGACATCTGGGGCCTGTTCTCTGTGACCACGGAGTGACCTCCAGCTAGACGTGGCATCACTGGCTCCACTGGATTTGGGCTCCGTCACGTCAGAGGCCCCTGAGGGGTGCGGCCCACTCTGCAGCTGACTCACGTTTGCTTTTCAGCTGAATGAAAAAGCCCGGAAGGCTTGGTCGCGCTTACTGAGCTAAACAAGACTTGGCGACTGGTGTTGATTTGCCTCCAAAGTCCCAAGTTCTGCGTTTCCAGACTGTCCAGAGCAGCCGAGCGTTCAACATACTGTAGCTTTTTATTTCCCCCCTTGGGGCACATATGGGTAGGATGTGTTGATGTAGACTCTAAAACTGTAATTTTCTTGTAACTATTTTGGAATGATGCATATTTCTAATGTTTGTTATACTTGTACAGAGTGTTGCTGTTGGTTGCTTTTCTTTGTTTTTTAAGGAAAAAAAATGGCCTGAAAAAATTTTTAAAAAAGACTTACAAATACCAAATATAAAAAATGTCAACACATTATGCCTTTGTGTCTTGTTTCTTTTCCCCCCCTCCTTAGTTGGTGTCCACACCATTCCATTTACCATTTCCGTTTGCTGGCTTGCGTTCAGCTGGGGTGTCCTTCACGCAAACTCGTTTCCCTTTGGGACTTCCCACCTTGTTTAGTTTGCTTGGGCGGCCCTAACAAGGAACCACAGACAGGAGGGCCGGGCCTCACACAACGGAAATGTATTTTCTCTCAGTTCTGGAGGCGGGAAGTCCAAGATCTAGGTGTCAGCAGGGTCCGCGTCTTTCGAGGCTGCTCTCCTTGGCCTGTAGGTGGCCTTCCCTCTGTGTGTCTGTCCTAACCTCCCCTTCTTCCAAGGACACCGGTCACGCTGGACGAGAGCCCACCCTCTCGACCTAATTACCTTCGTTACCTCTTGAAAGTCCCTGTGTCCAAATACAGTCCCATCCGGAGGTCCTGGTGTTCAGACCTCTAACATAGAAATCTGGGGGAGACGCAGTTCAGTCCAAAACACCCCCCCAGGGCGACTGAGTGAAAAGGAGACCCGGAGAATCGCGTGCTCCCAGAGGGCCGGGCACGTGGGTCTGCAGATGGACGGACGCCCACTTGGCTGTGGCGGACATGCCTTAGGCAAGCCCTCGGGGCGTGGGGAGGGTTTTTTGTTGGTGTATTTGGGGAATCCCAGAGTTGCTGGGCTACTGTGACAATGCGGGTAGTTTTGTTTTATTCCGTCCCTTTATGTTACGCTTGATGCAAACACTAAGCAGACTGAGGTGATTTTATTTGGAGATCTCTCTTGTTGCTCTTGCCTGAGACTAATCAATCAGTCAATCAATCAATCAATCAATCAATTCAACAGGGAGACTCTGAGTGCCTTCTGTGCACCAGCCCCTACACCTTAGCGGCTGAGGGTTCCACGGTGAACACAGTGGAACAAAAATCCTGGCCCTCGTGGAGCTTATGTTCCGATCAGAGGAGTCAAACATGGACATGAAATCTTTAGTGTGTTAGATGCTGACCATATAGAGAGAAAGGGCATTTCACTCCCTGATGCCCCAGTTTGGCACTTTCACGTGACACGGAGAGCTCTCTGCGCGCTCTCCCGGCTCGCCACGCGGGCCCCCCGGGAGGGGAAGGAGATGTTTGGACAGCCCAGTGCCCGCGTCCCAGGCCCGGCGGGGAGACATGACCTGCCCGGGGAGTGGGCAGCCTGCGGGCAGGGCCAGCTGCACGTGGTGCGATGGAGAATGACCCGTGAGGTGCCAGAGGGTTGAAGGAACAGGTAACGGTCCCGGAAGAACCAAGGGCTGAGTTTTCAGCAGAATCTTAGCAGGAGGAGAAAGGAGTCGGGGAGGCCTGGGGTGTGGAAGTACTTGCCTCGCTTGGAGCCCGGTGAGGGCTTCGGGGTGACTGGAATAGGAGCGTGCGGGAGCGGGGAGAGGTGGGGCGGATGACCTGAAAGGTAAGAGCTCTAGGATTGTATGCCAGGGTGACTGGAACTGTCCACCCTGAAAACACTGGGCCAGGTGTGTGTGTGTGTGTGTACAGACATGCACACACATGTATGTAAACACACAATTTTACCTTCACTATTTACTTTGGATGGAAACTGCACAGTGGTCGCGGGGGTGGCCGTGATGGGATGTAAGGAAGGACGCCACCAGGCACTTGGCTGGTGGATGGGAGTAAAAGATATAATTGCCCACATAAAACCGGGCACACTGAGCACTTTCAACGGGAGGCATGTTTCCTGGGCCTTTAGGTCCCACCAGGTCCTCAGCAGTCACTGGCAGCAGGCAGATCAGGCAGCAGGGGTCCATCAGGGCTTTTGAGGAGCTTGCCCTGCCAATCCTCCCCCCTCCCCGGTACTTTTTTTCTCTCTTTCCTGCCCTCATTTCTCTATGGAGACTATGGCTAAATGCTGGCTTGCTTGCCAAATGCAAAATAACTAGTAACAGTTCCAGCACATTTCTGAGTTGTTTACTGTGACATAGTGGGTGAAATAAGGCCGGTGTTCCCGGCATGGCAGCCCCTAGTATGTCCGGTCTGCCCGAGGTCGTTGCTACAATCAGTTTTCTGATCAGGTAAAAACTCAGATCTGGAGCCCATCACAACTGAATTATTCCGGCGTAGCTGCTGCCCGGCTGAGGGCAGAAAATGTTTTGCTTTGAAAAAGATGCTTCTGGGTGTCTGGTGCTATGAAGAACCGTGCGGGCCCCAAGTTTGGCGGCCTGAGCTTTGTTTAGCTCCCCGCTGCCCAGCGCGGCCCAGTGGAAGTCGCAGAACCTTCCCACGGTGGATAAGCTTTAGGAGGCAGGGAGCTGACGTTTGTCCTGAGCCCTGGGAGTGCAGTCTTATCTGTAGCTTGGCCCTTGAATAACTCGGGTTTGAGCTGCATGGGTCCACTTCTAGGCGGATTTAAAAAAGTAAATACAGTTGGTGCCCATGGGTTCATCCAACCCGCTGATGGGAAACAGCACTTGGTCACGCACAGCCGCAGATTCGCAACTGCGGGTGGAAAGTGCTGTTTTCAATCCCTGGTTGTCTGACTCCGAGGATGCAAAGCGCCGACGCAGCGCCAAAGGCTGTGCGTGGATTTTCCATCGCGCAGACGCGGGCGCCAGGAAGCCCGCTGTCGTCGGAGGGCCCGCTGCCCACAGCCCCTGTGCCCCAGCAGAGGTGGGCTTTGCGACCGTCCTCCTGTCAGAGCTGAGGAAGCTTAGAGACCCCGGCCCCTACCCAGGCATGTTCTCAGGGGTGTCCCGAGCCTGGGCACCTTCTGGCCACCACGCCTTCGATGGGAATTTCCCCGGGGCCA